ACAAACAACATACAACACACTATATATATATATATATATATACTACTATATATATATATATATATATATATATATATATATATATATAATACAGACAGAGACGGTTTTCTTTAAAGGGTATTGCGGTATCAAAGGTATATTGTTATTCGCTTTTGATCTATAATTTCGCGATATACATACGTCTTGTGAAGATATTTTTAACGTTCGTTAACTCTCCGATTTCATTCGCATTTATACGAGTGCAGGTGTGCAGGTGAGAATACAGAGTTGACAACACAAAATCGGGAGTGAAATTCGATGCTTTATAATATGTGCAAATCACTCGCGATGGCAAAGTTTTCCTCGCACTTGATGACTTTATCTTGCACGTAGACGTTCACCTATTGCTAGGTATGCGTACAAAATTTACTAAAATCTCTGGTACGTTGACATTATGACTCTGCGAATATACACACCTCCTTGACGGCTACATCGGTTCCAAGATAATCTGCTTTGTACACTCTTCCAAAATTTCCCGATCCCAGCGTCTACAAAGTTTTAAGATATAAGAGGATATAAAGAGCTGACAAGATATTGAAGTGAAGCTACGTTGAAGCCAGCCATGAACCAATTGGACCGATCGATGCCACCAGCTTCCCCGTCTATGTACTTACCTCTTTGATCTCTATATCGGCGAAGTCAATGAGGCCGTCTTCATCCAGGATGAATGCAACATTCTCTATGCTATTTGAGTTGTTTTTGGAAATTGCAGTTCTCATCATGTTGATCTCGAAATTTGATACTTGACGGTATACTGATTGGATTTGTACTGTGAAATATCCTTATCTGAGAGATCAGTGATCTTGAATTTTTCTTCTACTCTCTGACTGGGCTTCCGCTGGCCCGCTGCTCCCCCGCTGCTTGTGGCATCAAAACGATCTGTCAACACAAGGGCATTACTTTGATGTAGGGTGGGTAGGGTTTTGAGTTTCAAATTTCAACAATAGCCTTCTGAAAATCCGATTTTTTTTATTAAAAAAATATGCATCGTGATGTGGCTCAAATATCGGTCGGACAGGCTGGCAGTGCCAACAAGAATGACTGATAACGAAATGCTGTGCCCCAACACAACATCTTCTGAGTATTTAATTGTCGGGAAATACATCGCTGAATGGGTTAAAAACATCTGGTACTTGTTCAACGCTGCAACACATTGATTATCCTCGTTGAGATTGAATTCTATTGTATTTTAGTTGCTAAGTCGAATGTCGGCTACCGATAGATTTATGACTTTATTGCAAGGATCTCCTCACCCAAGCTAAACATGATCTCCGTCCATAGAATGACAAAAGTTGCTAGTATTCTACTCCCTGTAAAGTGCTGTGAGCAAGTTCGAAATTACTTTCTGAGGTTCAGTACTTTAATATTTCCTGAAGATCGGCGATTCACGAGGCCTATATTAACGTTTTCAAGTCTAAAAATTCAGCATATATACTTTTTCTCCCTCTCACGCGGTTTACTAGTTCTATAAAGGAAGATACGAAATACACCACCGGAAGTGATACATTGTTACACAGCTACAAAAGGCAAGAAGAAAAAAGTGTTTGCAACGAACAGTGTTGTTTTTAACAGATTCAACCTCAGAAACATGCATATTTGATGAATAAAATGATCATAGAAGTAAGAAATTCATGCACATGTATTTCTGAATGTATACACCTTTGAGATCATGTGTATATGTGTGTAAATTTTGGTAAATACCAATGGATTAGCAAGGTTGCATATTGAAAGTGAACACTTTAACTATGTAAATACTCGTGTTTACGTGTATGGATATATTTACATCGTAAATGTATAGGTATTATGCAATGCAAACAAGTATGCCTTCGTGAACACGTATATGTATATACATATACATCTAAAACTTATAAATATATGTATATATTTATGTATATATATATATGTATATAATAT